GGGGCGGCGTCAAAGCCGAGTCGGCGGAGGAGTGGACTCTGCAGAGCTGGGCCCCCAAAGCGTCTCCGGTGTACTGCCCGGCCGGCCTGGGGAGTTGTTTCCCAGAGATAAGGAACGATAGGGTATCTGCGATTACATTCCCACACTCTGAAATCCCCGGCACTGTAAGGAGAACTGACCTGACAATTAACTGCCTGGCGGAGGGCGCCTCTTCACCCAGCCCAAAGACCAACAGTGTGTTTCCACAACAAAGAATACTCCGAGAAACTAGGAAATGCCTGCAAGCAACTCCTGCTACACACTGCGCAGATAACGCCACAATAGCTGCTAGGTTCTTCTACAGCGATTCTTCGCGAGCAGCAGCAAATTCAGGAAAAGATTCCAAAATCCCCCCTTGTACTGAATTTGCCTCGGATCTGCCCTCTTTGCAGACTGACCCTGGCGTGGATGCAGCAGCAGCAGCAGCAACAGCAACGAAAGCAGAGAATCCCTGCACTGACACGAGCGACAAGACGCTGCCACTTCTGCACAATATTAAAATCAAAGTCGAAGACAGTAGTGCTAATGAAGAATATGAACCTGACCTTATTACAAATAAGCTAAAGTGCGAGTGCAATGATACAAAGGGTGAGTTTTACAGTGTGACTGGGAGTAAAGAGGAGGACGCCTTGCTGACCACAGCCAAGGAAGGGTTTGCATGCCCTGAAGAAGAAACTCCCTCCTTAAACCCACTGGCTCTGAGTCAGGGCCTCTCATGCACTTTAGGTTCTCCAAAACCTGAGGATGGGGAATATAAATTTGGTGCCAGGGTGAGAAAAAATTACCGGACACTAGTCCTGGGAAAGCGACCTGTACTTCAGACCCCTCCAGTCAAACCAAATTTGAAATCAGCTAGAAGCCCTCGTCCTACAGGTAAAACTGAAACACATGAAGGAACACTGGATGATTTTACAGTTCTAAACAGACGCAAAAAGGTAGCCAGCAATGTAGCATCAGCAGTGAAAAGGCCGTTTAGTTTCATGGCAAATTTTCCTTGTCCACCGTCACTCGTTATTGGGAAGGATGGGGATCTGTGGCCTGCATACTCCTTAAACACCACTAAGGACTCCCAACCTCCTCACAAGGCCCATCCTATCTGGAAATGGCAGCTGGGCGGATCTGCAATACCTCTTCCACCTAGTCACAAATTCAGGAAATTTAATTCATAAAAGTGTTTTGGAAGATATTTTCTTGAACCATATTACCTTCCTTTTGTTGTAAACTGCACAGGATGGTTTGTACAAGTCCATTAATGTGTTACACCCCCTTTGGAGTCCTGGTTTATCACATTTTGAAGACAGAAATCGGATTACTTTTTTTTTCCATTGCGGGTTTTTTTTTTTTTTTTTTTTTTTTTTTTTTTTTTTTTTTTTTTTTTTTTTTTTTTCCT